CAATTTAATGTGCACTATTTCTGGCAGTCTGCTTAGGCCCAAAGTGGAGTATTTTGCTTTGTTTCATAATAAAAGTTACACACCCTCTCAAAGGTATAGCCCTGTTAGTCTGGAAAATCAGTATGCAAAGGGATCTTGTAACACATTTGAAACTAACTGAAAGAAAAAGTTGGTAGCATGATCCTTCATGGACTTGAGCTCCGAACATGCATCTGTGGAAGCTCATGCTACCAAATTCTTTTTTCAGTTAGTCTCAAAGGTGCTACAAGATCCTTTTACACCTTCTCAAGAAATTGTGTCCAATGATAACAAGGCCTACCAAATATATTACATCTATTCAGTTTAGTCATAATTTCTCCTCAAGACAGACAGTTTAGTGTAGTGGTTCTGCTGGGCTGGGGCCAACATATTTGATATCGATTAAATATTAAACACTGAGCTAAGTGACAGTGAATGACCTGTAAAGGCAACCCCAAGGCAGAAACATGGCCATAAATCAGGATGGCACCAGTAAGGGAGGAAGCAAGGGACCCATCCCAACAAGATAACTCAAGACACCCATAAAAATTCCTTGGGTCTCAAGAGGTGACGATGGGAGTCTGGCTGAAGGTGATGGATGTGCACATATTTCACACCATAGTCCGACATTTCCTGACCCTTCTTATCTTCCTGGGAAATCGTTTGGGTTGTGAGGTCATCCTTTCATCCTGAAGAACACTGACTCGGATATGATTTTTAGGTATTTATACCACTGCTTGGACCCTAGCAAGTTGGTCTAGTTTGTAACTAGACACGTTGTTAATTAGGCACTTCAATAAGCTGATCCCTCACTTGCCTCGGTGGCTATAGAGGTTTTTCCATTCCGGTTTCCCATTGACTTCAACCATGCTTCAAAATCGGTAAGGTCACATTTAGTAAAGCCTCCTCTATTCCCCCCTTCCCAAATTTGCTTTGTTAGTTCTTGTGTGTGAACTTGAGTGTGTGCTTGTGTGTATGTGTTGATTATTCCCCTAAATAAACTACAAAACCTATTTGGAATTGCCTCTGGAGTTTCTGTGTGATTTGGAACTGGTATGAAGAGGGTTAGTGATCCCAAGGCCATCAGTTGCCCCAGCCAAAACATAATTTGAGCTATTCAGATTCCCCTAAAGCATATTAATTTTGGGTAACAGCTCACATGCTGGTTGAGACAAGATGTGGAAGATTCTGGTTCAATTTGCCATTCAGCCAAGAAAATTACTGGGTTACCATAATGCAGTATCTCTTCCTCAGCCTGACCTAACATCACAATGTTCTTCTGAGGTTAAAGTGAGGAGTTGGGAAGCCACAAAGACTACAGTCAACCCTTCGTATCCACGGATTTCTTATCCATGGATTCAAGAATACACAGTATGAAAATATTTTTAAAATATAGAAATTCAAAAAGGAAAACTGCACTTTCTCATTTTATCTAAGGGACACCATTTTACTCTGCCATTGTATTTAATGAGACTTGAGCATGGATCCATGGCGGGGGTGTCCTGGAACTAAACCCCAGCAGATGCCAAGGGCTCACTGTACTTTGAGTTCATTTGAGGAAAGCCACAATAAAAAGTAATTTGTATATTTGCATCAGGAAATCAGCCCTGAGGAGAATTTTTTAACCCACTACTTGCCAGTCACAGCACTGATCAAAACACACCTCTCCTAAAGTAGGTTTTAGGAGGAAGGAAAGCAGAACTAGCTCTGATCATAATTAAACATGTAGCTTGGCTCTCAGTTTATGTGGTCTGCATTCTCTGCTGGTTAAATGACCTTAACAGCCTCTTGTTTTAGAGATTTCCCAAATCCTGACCTTGCTCTTGAGTAATCCTTACCTTTTTTTCATGCTTGAGGTATTCTACTAGCTACCTAACTGATCTTCTTGTTGTTATGTGGATTTAAATTGTTTCTTACTTATGGTGACCCTAAGCCAGTGATGGCGAACCTTTTAGGAACCGAGTACTCAAACTAAATGGCCTTCTGGCACCAGGTGTTACCCCATGCCAGATCTACAAATCTATGGGGGCAGGATTTCAGGGGTGAGACTTCCCCCCTCCCCCCCCCAAACATATCTTCCTGGGCCTTCAGCTTCATATACCATCTCTGGCATGCGTGCCATAGGTTCAACAACATGGCCCTAAGGCAAACTTAACATGGAGTTTTCTTGGCAAATATCTTAAGAGGGGGTTTACCATTGCCATCCTCTGCAGCTGAGAGAGTGTGACTTGCTAAAGGTCACCCAGGGGGTTTACATGGCCAAGACGGGATTTGAACCCTGGTCTCCAGAGCCCTAGTCCAACATCCAATCCACTAAGCCACCTCCATCTGCACTGTAGAAATAATGCAATTTGACATGACTTTAAGTCAGGGGTAGGCAACCTTTTTGAGCCGGGGGCCGGGTTGCTGTCCCTCAGACAATTGGGGGGCCGAAGTACCAAAAATAAATAAATAAACAAATAAATATAAATAAAAATAAAAATATTTTTAATTAAAAATTTAAAAAATATGCATGCACACTCTCTCAGCCCCAGAAAAGCCATGGCAAAACCCCTGTGGAGATTTTGCCAAGAAAACCCCAAGAATAAATAATAACAACAGTAATCAATATTATCATGCTGGGCAGCGGCGGCAGCAGGGAGCGGCGGTGGCAGGACTGGCCTGGGGCCGGTCCAAAGGCCTCGGGGGGCCACATCCGGCCTCCGGGCCTTAGGTTGCCTACCCCTGCTTTAAGTGTTTTAGCCCCATCCTATGGAATCCTGGGATTTATAGTTTTACAAAGTCTTTAGCCTTCTCTGCCCAAGCATGCTGGAGCTTCCAGAGTCATATAGTCCAATGCTCAAACCACTACACACTAGCTTAGAGGCAGCTAAAAATTTTCAGAGATTTTAATGTGTGTGTGTGTGTGTGTGTGTGTGTGTGTGTGTGTGTGTATACAGACAAATGCACACACTCACTGCTTGAAAGATTAGTTTTGAACTACAAGTTTCTGAATCCCCCAGCTGATATTACCAGTGGCCCAATGGAGATGTCCAGAAAAAAAAGTAACTCTTCCAAGTTCCAGTTCTTACTTTGAATGGGCTGAATGTGCCATTTCAAGACAATTTTACTTATTATGGGTTCTTTAGCTTCAGAGATAGATCAGGGAACTGGATAAAAGAAAGCAATGAGATGCTTATAAACTCCTGTTCTCATTGTGGGGCCCTATGAACAAACACTGGCCAAAATCTATGCATCCCAAACAATAAAGACCCACATAATTTGACCAGTCTCTTGCAACTCTCTGGGGAAGCAATTTGCCAATGTAGCAAGGTTTCCTTCCATGTCAAATTGACACTGTTCTCAGGAAAGAAAACATTTCAAAATGCAAAGCAATGTTGTGAGTCATCTGGAATGGGATTTCACCTGCCTCCTATTTAGAGAACCGCAAACAGGATTACCTCAGGGACTGGAGAATCAAAATCAGCTTTGAAAAGGCTAGAACAATTTTTTGTAAAGGAAATGTAACTGTTCTGCTTCTGTATTTAGTTTGTGACATAATTAGGAATAACTATACTAAGAAAAATGGCTGTTGTTTTGTCTTTGGAATGAATTAAGTGTGCTCTGACTCCTTAAGTACAGCTTGGAATCCAGACTCTCCTCTCCATGAATTGGATCCAGACCAAATTCATCACATTTAGGCCCTGCAGAAATCAGTGTGAAAAGTAAGTTGTGCCTTTTCACAAGTGAAGCTAACTTGCTCTGGAATGAATCCCTTGTCTCTTACTTCAAATAAGGAAGATCCTATTGCAGGCCTGGTGGTTAAGTCCCTATGATGGACATGCATATAAACCTTTTAAACTATCAAAAATTGTGAAATTCATGAAGACTCAACAGACAGTAATTGTACATTTGCATTACAGATGTAAGTTGTAAATATTTAACAACAATTCAATAATTCTTCCTCTGCCAGGGGACTCCAGGGACTATAAATCTATTACAGCTGGTTAGCTATGTCTTATGGTGCATCTTGTTGTAGTTGTTGTTGTTGTTGTTGTTGTTGTGTGCTTTCAAGTTGTTTCCAACTTATGGCAACCCTAAGGTGAACCTATCATGGAGTTTTCTTGGCAAGTTTCTTCAGAGGGGGTTTGTCATTGCCATCCTCTGAGGGTGAAAGAGTGTGTCTTGCCCAAGGTCACCCAGTGGGTTTACATGGCCAAGACCGGATTTGAACCCTGGTCTCCAGAGTCCTAGTCCAACATTTGAACCACTATGCCATGTGTATCTCCAATACTCCCTGTCCTCTACTATTATCTTCAGTTCTTGTAGATTCATGACCATGGCCTTCCTGGTGGAGTCCATCCACCTAGCTTGTAGTCTTTCTCTCTTTCCCTTTCCTTCCACTTTTCGTAGCATTATGGTAATCTGTTCTATGACCCATTTGTTTGTCTTTTTGGCTGTCCATGGTATCCACAGCACTCTTCTCCAGCACCACATCTCAGATGAATTGATTTTCTTTTTATCCATTTTCTTAATTGTCCAGCTCTCACATCCATACATGACAATGGGGAACACGATTGCTTGTACGATTCTGGCTATTGTGCTTAGTTGTATGTCTTTGCTTTCAGGACCGATGCAGATGGCCTGAAAGGGGTGGCACCGAGCGGGGATTGGGGCCATGGTGACCACACGCTGCAGCCCTGATCCTCCTTTTTGCCACCCCCAAAAGAGCGGCAAAATGTCACTCCTTTTAGGGGCGGCAAAAGGCGCAGCTCTTTTGCACCCTTTTGGTGCGTGTGTCCACACTGTGCCAGGAGGGCATCCTGATGTCACGTGCTGTGTGGACAGGTGTGCAGCATCGGGGTGGAGTCGGGGTGGCTGGCGTGAGGCTGCCCCACCCCAGCACCACCCCCAGGCTGGCCCTTTGTGCCAGTCTGCATTGGCCCTCCAGGACCTTTTCTAGTTCTTTCATAGCTGCCCTCCCCATTCTTAGTCTTCTTTTAATTTCTTGATTGCAGTCCCCATTCTGATCAATGTTTGATCCAAGGTACAGGAACTCGTTTACTATTTCTATTTCCTCATTATATAGGTTGAATTTATGGATATCTTCTGTGGTCATTATTTTTGTTTTCTTTATATTTAACAGTAAGTCTGCTTTTTTACTTTCTTTCTTGACTTTCCTCAGTAGATGCTCTAGGTCTGTGATGTTTTCTGCTAGCAGCATGGTATCATCTGTTTAGTTAAGACCAAACACAATAACAAATGACCTGTTCCTGGTGGAGATGAAAACTGCTAGAATTTGTGTATTAATATGGATCAAAATGGATGCCTTGAGTTTTAAAGAGAGTCCCAAAATTGCTATTTTATTTATTTTAGTGTCTATTATTTAGTATTTATTTTAGTGTATTAAGAATTTTCTTTCTTCCCTCAATAAACAGTTTGGTAGATAAGACTATGTATTGTTACATCCTAAGTATTCTTTCACTTCCCAATGCATTTGTCCAAGCTATGTGCTCAGAAGAGGGGAGGATAAAGGGGACATTGGGTTATTCTCTGGAAAATAGTCATGGTCAATCTCAATTTTCCAAGTCCCAACAGATGCTGTGAACAAGGAATCATCCTTTCACCTCATAGCTTCAGGACACTCATTATTTTTCCCCCAAAATGATGGGAAACTGTAGATTTCCAATGAAAGCTGCACAGCTTGTCCAGAGATCATACTGTTTTCCAGAAATCACACAGCATCTCCTGAGAACTGTGCAACCTTCCCTAAAAAATGCATGGCTTTTAGCACAGAAATGAAATTACACAACATGCAACATGTTGCATAGACTATGAAGTAAAACCATCTATATTTAGTTGGTAAAAAACAACTAAATGGGGGGGAAACTATCAATGGACTTTATCACATGGGGGAAATCTATAGTTTATCCCATACAAATCCTGAAAAAAAATGTGTAATTACGTGCAACGATTTCACATGACGTTGCACAAAAACTGCTATTAAAGTGGTCAGTAAGTGGTGTTATCCAAGATCTTTTTACTTTCGGGATTTTAGTGAAAATGCATTTTCAATATTATTGTAATTGTGCATTTACTCTAGTGTAAAAGTCAAATTTGGATTATTCACACAATAACCCTCCTTTAATTCTTTTTTCTGGTTTTGCCATGGTTCTGTGGGGCTGTTTTTACTTCCTGTTTTGCTTGGGTGACAAACATGCCTGGCAGACATGAGCCTCTCTGCTTTCTCTTTCTGTGCATTTGCAAGTATACCATTTCTAGTACATTTACGGATTTCTTTCACTTCTGTATGAAATGTAAAAATATCTTTTTATCGCTTTTTGCGTTATTTCGCATTTATTCTAATTACGTGTGAAATTCATTTGCATGATCAAGCTCTATTTTCGCTTTATTTTCTGGATGGTTTATTTCCACTTTATTATCTTTTTAAAGACGAAACTGGCCCCCCGTGTGATAAAGCCCAATGAAAAGGTGCTCAGGAAAGATACAAAGTTGTGTGATAAGTACCTTCCAAAGACACTATAATCCTACTGTAATTGTGTTCTACTAGCCTCATGTAATAAACTCTCGAGTGTACCATCTTTTTATGCCATTGAGGTGGGCTCTTCAAGTCTATGCCAATGGGGTGCAAGTTTGTGCAGTTTCTATCAAGCAATACAGCTCCAGGTACAGCCTTGGTAGAGGACTGTCATTTAAGGACCAGCCTGGTGAGATATGCAAAAACTTGCTACCAGAAGGTTAGCCATACAGCTGATGAATTGATCACAGACACCATGAACACAACAATGATGTGGAATAGCTGCAACATGCATTGGTGGATGTACTACTAAAAATCATGGATGGTCAATGTGTTCAAAGTGAAGAGCATATCAAGAACATTGCACATAGAGTACAGATACTTGTTTTTAAAAATGCATTGTGACTTCATTTTCAGTAGTCAGTTTTATGTTGCAATTGTACACTTTATTAATTCCATTAATGCCAGATATTTTTGATTATAAAATATTACAAAGAATACCCCCAAAAGCTACTGATCTGAAAAAAGTCTTACTGTATGCTCTCTTCTGAGCATAGTTATGGCTGTCAGCAATGCCTGCTTATTAGCATAATGTAATATTATTGCTAGAAGGCAATTGTAGTTGGACCTAACCCAACAACAAAAAGATTTAGAGCTTCACATAATATTGTAATAAGGGGAGGGGGAGGACAGCATCCGCAAGTGAATACAGTGGTGATAGTGTGGCAAAGCAGCAATTGCATAGGTGTGAAACACAAATCACTACAATGTGTACAAACAAGTGAACTGAGCCAATTGCTTACTGATGG